CTCCAACCCCCCCCAGTCCCCGCGCCTGGGCGCGTCGCCCAAGCTCAACCCAATGCTGTGGCTTCCTGCTAATGCGAACCCCGAGAATCCAGGGCAGGAGAGCTCCAAGTGTCCGCTCCCCAACTCTCCCACCCTCCTGCCGCCTGCACGCAAAGGCCAGGGCTACGAAGCCCCGGGAAGACTTCGCGGGGTTTTATTTATATCTAAGATGACGAACTCATTTGTAAAGGACAGAAGCAGAATTTTAGAATGAAAAAGTGAAGAGCACGCCTCCCTTCCTCCCGGGGCCCGCCCGCAGAGGACGCACGGCCCCTGCCTCTTAGAGCAGGAGCCGCAGCCCCAAAGAAGACGGTCGGCTTCATGCCGGCGGCACCTGGAGCACACCCCGAGCTCGGCACAGCCCCCAGCGCACGGTCACTGCCGGATAAAATCGGAAATGGAACTGACGTGCACTGAGTCCGTCCTTTCACGACTAAAGGTCAGCTGACCTATTCGGGGCGCACGAACAACTGGAGCCCGAGCACTTCGCCATCCATTTCGATGCTTCCCGGTCACCCCACCCAGACACCACCCCCGCCCCATCAGCTACTAACAGAGAACCCACGCGACCTCTGGGAGACTAACCAGCCCCGAGAGAACAGAACACCAGCAGCCAGTCCGTCCAGCTCCTCCCAAAGGCAGAATCAGGGAGGAGAGGGCAAAGCAAGCCACGCACAGCGTGACGTGTGACGGACGTGTCCACGCTGCACGCCAGCCCCGTCCAGAGCAAACTCGCTGCAAACCTGTCCTGACAGCAAGCAGCCCGTCAAACGGGAAACCCGTGCTTAACGGGCAGGTTGGCGTCATGGTAACTGACGACCCTGCCCTTCCTACTCCCAGGTTCAGGAAGGTAGACCAGAGTGTCTAATTTATTAGGAGAGACCGAGCAAGCCTTCAGATGTCCCGCGTCAGCCTGGAAGGGGCTGGCCCCGTGGGCAGGAACCTGAAAATGAGGCCTCTGATTTCTGTACAGAACATGGCACCCAGGTTGAAGTGTCCCCGGAGAACCGTAGGATGACAAGGGAAGAAGAAAACGACACCCCCCTGCCACAGCTGCTTCTGTAGCCCCAGCCCGCCCTGCCAGAGAGGAACCTCTTCAGCGTAGGGGAGGGCGTCGGCCTTCCCCAGGAGTGGGACCAGGAGCACCTCCCACTGCAGGTGGCTGCTACGTACCTCGCAGGTGGCTGCTATGTACCTCGGGGGTTAGAGGTGGCTCCTTCTAAGAAATCACGGGCGGGCATGTGGCGACAGCCGTCAGGGGCCTTCTAGCCTCAGGCTTCTGCTAGGGACACTTCCGCTCGAGCTTTGAAACCCAGCGCTAATAGCGCCCGCCACGTGTCTCAACGCTTCTCCATGCAGAAATTTCTCTCCCAAATTCAGTCTGGTCAGTGCCGCAGCCTCAACCTCCCCTTCCTCCTCCTCTGCTCCGAGGAAGTAGGGAACAGCTGGCCACCAAAGCGACACATCACCAACCCCATCACCCAAACTGCAGAATCGGAAACAGATGTGGCAAACCCCTTGCCGCACAGCGACTTTGTGCTGAGGCCACACGAACCTGCACGTCCTCAGTCCAAAGTATTCGGGCGAGGAAAGCCTGCTCGTTAGACTGATGACTGAGAAGAACACAGGGCAGCTCACATTTCTAAAACCCCTTAGAGTGATGACCGTATTTACCTACATTACCTCCCTCAAGCCACACTCAAAACTCGTGAGGGATATGTCACGACCACTTTTTGCAAGTCGAAACCGATGCTTAGGGAGGTTGAATTCCTTGCTCAAATAGCACTTCAGCTACTCCAGATGCAGCCGATCACTCGTGCCCTGCGTCCTCACCCTCGATCCTCCCGGTCTCACGAGGGAGAGCTCAGGGCGGCCCTCCCCTTTCCACGAGCTCCCGGCATGCCTGGGCAGGGAGGGCATAAGCCTAGCATTACATATTTATGACATAAACACCTGACATGTGGATGAACATAGCAGATAGCAGATGGTGAATCTCACACAGAGTAGTCAGAAAAACCGCCCAGTGTTTGCCCAGTGTACCTCAGGTTACATTCAAAGAATTTTCTGGAAAGTATGGACGACCTCAGGCACTTTTAATAGTGGAGAGCCTTCACTGTCTACTTATAGATTTTTGTATCCTTTTCCTCTTCTATAATAATCTAGTATTACTTTTTTAACAATAATTGAGACATTCGTTCAAGATCGCAGAACTCGGCACGGCAAAGCCAAAGTAGATCTACGGTCCCGACTCCACGGGCACCGTTCTTCCTACGACCTCAGATTCATCCATGCATCTGGGCCACACGATGGGTCTTGTGCCAGGCAACCTGCCAGAACCGGCCCTGCCCACGCGGTGCCTGGAGCCCTGCAGCTCCTCCTCGTGGGACTCAGCGAAGTGACGTTCACCTGACCCGCTCTGCCAGACCAGCACGCTGCTGCCCTTCGGCAGAGCAGAGAAGCAGGAGCCGACCTCCGAACCACCGGCTGGCCTCGGACAAACACCCAGGAGAGGGAAAAGCAGACGGGAAGTGCCCCGGGCCCCAAGGCCCAGCCTTCCCAGGTGATGGCACGCAGCCGGGAAGATGTGAAGTCCACGCTGGGAAAGTCGCCGGCACCTGCAGCCAGCAGCCCCACCCTCGGGGCTCCTCCTCCCCAAATCTCACAGCTCACCTCAAAAGCCACGCGATCTGACTGGTGCTGCCGCTCGGCCTCCTGCAGCTTGGCCAGCAAGTCCCTCACGGTCCTCCTCAAGCTCTCGGCATCTCCCTCTGCGTAGGCGTCCACCTGCAGCCAGAGCAGGAGAGGGAAAGTGAGGCCACCATACTTGTGACTTGGCAAGAGAAGGTTCCCCGCAATGCGCACTTCTCTGCCACGAGGGAAAAGACGTCTCATCGGTTTCACGGAGCCTCTGGCCAGTCACGCCCAAGTGCAGGTGGGCGCCCAGGGCTGCTGAGCTGGCATGTAGGGTCTCGCCGCCTTCACCTCAGTCACCAGCTCCCTGTGCGTCTGACAGGAAAGCCTGCCCTGCACAGTGGCAGCAGCGACGCCTCTGAACCAGAGCGCCGAGCTCTCAGCCGGGAGGGGGGCGGTGAGGTCTCTCAGTCCCTGTGTTGCCACTGAGTCCTGTGGGCCTTCGTTTCTCTATCTGTGAAGCAGTCAGAAGGTTCCTGACCACACCCTGCCTTATGGGCCACCTCAAAAAAAATAAAAACAAGATAATATCCAGTAGGGCTTGGAGCTCCTGAGAAGAAGCCAGCCAGATAACACCAGTTGTCATTATGACTTGTTGCCGACAGCACATGTGCCAAACACGGTGACTCAGGGAAAGGGCACAGTCCAGGCTGCACATCTGAAGTGAGCGGCCAGAAGCACAACGTCCCAAATCTAGCCATCAGGAAGTCCTCCCGTCAGTCCTCATAGCTCTGCCTGAGCTGCTGGGCAGGTGAGGATGATGTAAGAGGCTCCTGGAGCATGACTATGTGCTTCGTGCAAATGGTGTTCTCAGAAGACTTTTTTAACGACATGGAAAGTTTTCATGATATAGTATGAAGAGAAAAAAAGTCCATTATGAAGACTGAAAATATAATAGGCATATTTAAATCATATACTGAATATATTAGAGTGAGCAGCTTTTGGTTAGGGACAGGAGAGAAAAAAAAAATTCAGTGGGCGGCCTCGACGGGACCAACGTCGACAATGGGTCTTGGGCTGCCAGGCAGGTCTGATTCAGCCGTGTCCGTGAAGACCAGAAGAACCCGACCCAGAAGAATACCCACCCGAACCAACAAGTACAAGGAGACGCCACACACAGCATCCTCTTGATGTCGTAAACACACGTCTGCAGCGAAGGGAAGACCAAGGGCATGTTGCCCACCTGGGCTTTGCCCGGGTGGGTTACAACTGACGTTTTTTTCCTGTTCGCTTTTGTTTCTGAATTTCCTAATTTTTCTATAGCAAGCAAGTCTTATATTACATAAGCACAAGAAAAATAACATACGTCATTTTTTTTAAAAGTAAAGCCATGTTTGTTAATCATATGTCAATAAAACTGGGGAGAGGGCATTAAAAATAAAAAAAAAAAGGTACAGCCACGGAAGGAAAAAGTCTGTTGTTATTCAAAAGTGTGAGGTAGATCTACACGGACTAACATGGAAAGAAGGTTCTAATATACTCGCCAGTTTAAATAAATAAAAAAGCAAGCCAGGAATTTATTCATCACAACCCTGTATGTATGAAAAGTATGTGTATATTATACACAAACAATTGTGCATTGCATATATTAAGATATGCACAGGCATACATACATGTGATATTCAAATATGGTGGTCTGTGCACAAAGACACTCCAGAACACTGGTCCTCAACCTTGGCTAAACATTACGACCACCCGAACAGCTTTCCAAAGTCCTGATGCCAAGGCCACCCCCCAGACCAATTAAGTGACATCCCTAGGAAAGTCACACAGGCATTGGGTTCCTTAAGGCTCCCGAGGCCATGCCAGTGGGCGGGGAAGGCTGAGAAGCACCGCCCTTGAAGTACTTCGATCTGGTCACAGGGGTTACTTCCATGGAACAGACCAGAAAGGAGAACTTTGCATGTTTCTCCATTGTTTGAATTTTTACAGCAAGTAAGTCCTACTCTCACATTTAGTGAGAGCGAGAAAGTGATAAACAAAGGGATCGGGGAGGGGACATCCTGGCTCCTGGCTAAGTGGCAGTCGCTGCTGCTCTCCGTGGTACCTACCTCAGGCGGGCCACTGCACAGGGTCCGGGGACTCTGACTAAAGCCATTGGGCTTTTCTAGCACCACCTGTTCAAAGAAGAGTAAAGCTGGTTAAGAGTCCCGAGCGACCACCTACGAAACGTTATTCTCCTAAAAGCACAAATCTTAAATGATAGATAGATAGATAGATAGATAGATAGATAGATAGATAGATAGATAGATAGATAGTAGATAGGAGAGAAAGAGAGAGAAAAGGAGGAGGAAGAGGAGGAAGAAGATAAGGGAGGGAGGGAGGGAGGAAGGAAGGAAGGAAGGAAGAACGGGAGGGAGGGAAGGAAGGAGGAAGGGAGGGAGGAAAAGGAGGGAGGGGAGGGGGGAAGATTCCGGTGCCTTGTGAGAAAATGGGAAGGAAGGAAGGAAGGAAGGAAGGAAGGAAGAATGGGAGGGAGGGAAGGAAGGAAGGGAGGGAGGAACAGGAGGGAGGGGAGGGGGAAAGATTCTGGTGCCTTGTGAGAAAATGAGAAGAAGAGTGGACAACGCTGCCATCTTGAGAGGGAGCAGCTGGCCTTGGAGGGAGGCTGAAGGAAGCCTCGGGCTCCAACCTTCCCTCACTGGAGACTGCGCAGGCCTGCTCCTCGCAGCCCAGGGAACGCAAGCAGCTGCCTGCCACAAGCGAAGCGTTTTTCCCTTGCCCCGGGCATCCCGACAAGGGCTGACAAAGCATAAGTCAGAAGGGGAAGCAGCATGTGCTGCCATTCTTTTCAATTATTCGTCACCTGACTGCTCATTCGTGCAAACAAGGGGCCTAGGCTTCCCGCCAGGCTCTGAGCACAGCGTGTTCTTCAGTCACCTGACAAAGCATCTCCCAGATGCGAGCGCAGGTACTGAAAGTCCTACCTTCAGCCAAAGCAAAATGCATTAGGGCCAACCGGCCACGCCAAAGGGGAACGTGGCTGGCACTAGCTGCTAGGTCGCTGTCCCCCTCAGGAGAATGAAGGTGGGGGACGCAGGAGCAGGACCACCCCACCCCAACCAAACGCGAGTGAAAGGGAGACAACTAGACTCTAAAGGAGGATGAGGGTGAAGTCATGGAAAAGACAGGTCTGCTCCCCTGAGGACTCTTCTGTCCACAAATTTTAGAAAAGCTGAAAAGCAGGACCCCAGGATTGTCCCTCCCAAGGAGGCTTTGCAATCAGTTCAGTCGGAAGAACACTTATGGTGACCTTCTGCATCCCAGCCCGGCGCTGGGCGTGGGGATGCAGAGGCGGGGGCGGACCCTAAGCTCCAGGATCTCCCCATCCTGGGGTACAGGTGGCGATAGACACAGACAAACAACAGACAAGGACCAAGACTTCGCATTTACACTACAGGCGTCACCCGGATTGAGCGAGATCAGTTCATAAGTTTGGATTTGTAGGTGACTGCTTCATAAGACCGCATTACAAGAAGACTGATCCCAGAATCCTTATAGATAGGAAGTTTTGCCAATAATATAATGATAATTTTATTTCATGTAAATTCAATTATCGGACAGAGTTTTAGGAAGAGGTGAACTTATACAGGGGCCGACAGGTGTAAACGGCAGTGACTCCGCTGGAGTGCCCTAACAAGGCGTGAGCGCTCAGAGAAGCCATCACCGTCTGTCATCTCTCCCTTCCTGGCAGTGATGTAAGACTCGGCACCCACTGGGTGACAACTCCACCTGCTCAGTGGGGACCTGCCCACGGGCCATTTCCTATTACCTGTATCTCCTGTCTACGGTGAGGCTCTGCTGGATCTCGCTCGAGCGTGCTACTTATATCCTCCCGGAGCTTCTGCAAGCAGTTCCTGGCCTGGGAAGGGAGCGAGAAGCTTTAGCTTTTGGATAAGGAAAGCGAGCACACCAACTCGGTCACCTTGGAGCGCATCCCAGCATCCCAGCCCGTGCTCCTAGGAGCCAGGTACTGTTCGGGCACTGGCTGAGGGAGGAGGGGCCCACGTCGAGTGGGGCCACGGCCCAGTCCCTCCTACATAAGCAGCAAAATAAGCAAAACCTCTGCTCTGAGGAGCTAGCATTCTAGCTGAGGAGACTCACAACACAAAAGGCGAATAAAACGTGTAATATGTCACATAGAGACAAGTGCCAGGATGGTTAGGAAAAGCCGAGGAAGTAAAGCTGGCAGTTTTAGATAGGACGGTTGGGGATAGTGCTAGGCTCATGGTGTTTAATAAGTGTTTGCTGATTAATGGAAGGGTCAGAAATGATATTTGACACGTGACAGGACATGATGGCACCTGGGAGTTATGAAGGGAGTAGAAGGGAGAAAATCAAAATGTACCAAAGAAGGGAGATGCAAAATGTGAGATTTAGAGAAATGACTTAGGCCATTTCACAGAAGGAAGGCGTGCCCACCTCCTGGATGTACTGGACCTCACTCTTCAGCTGGTTAATATTCTTCTCATGAATCATCTTGTCTCCAGACTTCCCCTTCAAGTACACCTAACATAAGGAAGAGAACACTGTTTAGGTAAAAAACCTCCGGTTAAATTCATTTCATGCAGGCAGCCTCATACGCCGCAGGTGGGAAATAAA